TGTAATTACGTAAGAATGAACTAGATAGGTTGTAAGAGCAGAAATAGATAATTGAGAGATAAATTGATCATTCTTGGTAGAAGTAAGGTAATCACGACTTAATGCTCGAATAGTAGACTGACATGATATTTGGATAGCAGAATCTAGATTCTAGATGCTATAAAAATGTATTTCATAAAGATTTCGTGAAATGACTTCTAAAGAGGTTAGAACCAGAGTGGACGTTGAGTAAGGAACCGAAGTCATGTTCAAAATCCAATTCACATTCAAATAGATTTGGGTTATATACTTTAGTTTGTGACAGAAACTCTGACAAAAATCAAGATACTAGGAGCAATCCAAGTTTGAACAAGAATTCACATTCGAAATCACGTTCAAACACAACTTTCCGTTAGAATGCAAACACAATTTTTACAACTATTAGGTTCGCGCTGATTGTTTAGTTTTTAGATCTTATAAATACCTAAGGAAGCCTCTCAAGTCAGAATTTATCAGTTTTCAACCCTAGGCAACCCTAGAGAGTGAGAGAGATGGATAAAACACAAGATTCGAAGAGGATCTTCACATTGGAACGGATCAAAGGCACTAGGTTTACACAACAACGTAGGATTAAAGGTAAGGGGTTCTTCTTGAGTTCTTTCATTGAGACTTAGGTTATATATATGTATGTTTTAAATCTTCTTGATAGTTATATGATAAATAATTATGAGTTCTTGGTTGTTTCCAATTGAAATATAGTTTTAAACAAAATACATGTTTGGGTTTAAGAAATTCTTATTCTTGGTTTCCAAAATCCTATTTTTGCTAAATACATGTTTTCATGTAAAAAGTACATGAATTTTGGATTTCTAAATTCTTATTCTTGATTAAATTATGTTTCAATCAAATACTTGTTTTTGTTCCATGAAGCTAAGAGTATTGGCAACACCTTAGATTTGTGATGTCGAAATTGTAAAGACTTCTTGATGCGATCTCTGACATATTTTAATTCTATTATTATTAGTGTATATTAAAAATTGAGATACATGGATTTGATGGAACTTGTGGTTGTTTGAGTACATGGTGTTTGGATAAAGTGTGGTTTTTCATCTCTATATGGTTTGGGTGTGACAGACTTGAATTTTCTTCGAAAACTGTCGTAGTGTTAGAAGTTAGTCTATTCCGGTGAGGATGAGATGATTGCCTGACACTTGTAGTGGTTTGTTTTCTTGAGAGTCCAATCACTATTGTTCATGTAGGTTGGAAGCTAAGGGATGATATACCTTTTCTGAAAATGATTCATCAATGTCGTGGGAGACTGTATACGCCCTTCCTAAAGTGGTTTGTGTTGTGGTCCTGTGGGAATTGATTGAGATTGTTTGTGTTGGTGGTGGGTGAACGAGGTAGGATCGTTACATAGATTCCTGAGAAGAAACTAACATAAATGAGACAAATGAGATGATGTTATTGAATTATTTGTTGATTAGTTTGACTCTTTAATGTTTATTTATGTTATTAATTTATTGTATTCCATATACCTAGGAGCATTATGACTGTTATTGTTTTACTTTTAAAAAGGTCTATATACGACTTGCCTTCTTCATATTGTTTTAAAAACTTTATTTGGATTTGAGGGGAATTTTCTACGGGCTTTTGCGCACCCTTTACAAAAACACATTCACATATTTTGGTATAGAAGAGAATGTCAATGTGGTTAAGCAGGTTGACTACGTGGAGGAGGAGAAGAATCAAGATCCGGATCCCATCTTGGAGGATTAAAGATGTTTACTTATTGGCTAGAGTTTGAGGGATTGAAATAATGTTTTGTTTAGATTTAATTATTCCGTTGCTAGATACATTTGAGTTTTAAGTTGTAAGTTAGAAAGTTACATTGCTTTATTGACATTAGCATTTATTCTTTATCGAATGTAATGGTTATTTTTAGTTGCTCTCATGATTGAATGGTTTGTAGATAGTAATATTTTTCAGGATGGATTCTGAGGCATTACAACTATTCCAATAAACATGACTTAACATAATCTCATGAAATAAAAATAATAACATTGATTGCAAAATAATTGGCAATCCCCTCCTCATTCACATAATTCATGTGTCAATCAACATCCTTTTGAGATCAAATAGGTCCTTCTATAGTTGTAATGGGTCCTCGGGATAAAAGATCCTGAAACAAATGATATTTGGGAATTCAAAAAGTTATTCCAAGAGAGCAATAATTTTCTCAACGATATTCTTCAATTTTTTTTTCTTTTTTCATCATTTAGAAGCATAGTTCAATAACACTATCTCATACTATTTTTTTCAATTATTTGAATCATTTTTTTCTTCTCTCTTTATTTTTTATTTTTTTCCTTGCAAGTTCATCACCATGTATATATATATATTTTCCTTTTGATATCATAAACTTCACCTCTTTCTTCATTTTTTTTTCTTTGTCCCTCATTGAACAATATAAAATCAATGTCGGGATAACCAAGGTAAGGTAAAATACATCATATTCTTAGCTTGGTCATTATATGTGGCTTAAGAATCAAAATTATGCAAAAGAGACTCAATCACAACTTATAAGGATAATAATAATAGCAAAAGAATAAGGTGAAGGCTCAAATTAAATCAAAAATGGACTAGACTCATATCTCAAGTGCTATTGACAAACATACTTCAAAAGCAAATAAATTCATAAATAAAACTATCATTCACAACTATATTGGCTAAAACAAACAAATTGAGATTATTCAATAAAGTTTGCTAAATAAAATCATATTTTAAAGTAAATGCCATAACCATCCACTCAAAACTCACAAATGTTAATCAATTCCTCTCCACTATGTGCATCAAATCTCAAAGTAAAAGTATATTATTCAAAATTTAACAATAACATAGTTAACCATGCACTAATAATTTGAGCTTCAATTGGGAACACAACTTATGATACTAAAATATAGAATAAAGTTTTATAACAGGATCAATCAAGCATGCCCTATCTCCATACTAATCAAGCCACGAGAACATAATTTCAGACAATTAATAAAAATAAAATTAGCATGAAAAATGTACTTATTAAAAAAAAAATTGTCAGGAACGTCTACTTTTAAGGACTCCGAGTTAAACTTTTGGACGTAGCTCTGCGGTGTGTCATTCAGCCCTTGCTTCACATTCAGTAAGTAGTAGCTCAGCTTTCAATAGGTTGGAGCTCTAATGAAATGCAACACGAATGAAATGGAGAGTTCCCTGAATGATGAGATTGAAGGTGGGGTCAATATGTTGAACGTTAGGCCAAGCTCTTCAAGGTGATCACGAAAGCTCGGCATCACACTGGATCCTGGTATCCATGCAATTCTATCTAGTTCTTGTAGGTATTTAAGTGGTCCAAGGGATCTTTTGTCCCATTGAAAGTATCCATTTATGACATTCTGAATTTTTGAGGAAGAGGATAATGCAACACCTTAGGAGTGAATAGAGACTCCGTCTGATCCATTGTCATTGGGGTTTTGTTCTTTACCATCTCCTTCATGTGGCTGAGCTCATGCTAGGTTTCTTGAAACGTTGCTCCCAAAATTGTTCTTTTCTTTCTTGAAGGAATGGGGGGAGCTCGTTTCTGAGAGTTTCCCTATTCTAAATTTGAATCTCCTCATCCTCCTAAATCTTTTGATCTCGACGATGGATGTTGCCAACTGATTAACTATGCTCGTTATCCTCTATAATTTCCCTTAAGTGGCTCTAGTGTTGATGTTCTCATCGTTGAGGATCATCTTGGGCTGGTTGTATCCTTTGGCGATGCTAGGCGTGTATGAGGTTTAGTAACTCCTCATTTTGTTGGAGGAGGCAATTGTTGGCTTGATGGAGGACCTCGAGTTTGTTGTTTGGAGGGGAATCCCCCATCGGTGGATTAATTTTAGGATTAGGCAGGGGATTTTCCTACTGCCTCCCAGTGGCGATTTCTCGTTGGTTTTGCAAACGTAAGAGGTTCATCTGATTTCTGCTCATGTTGCACGTAAAAACTATAAATTACTGAACTAATCAGTAGAGTTTTTAATAAGAAATAGACATTTCCCACGGACGGCGCCAACTGTTGTTATGTGCTGCACAATTTAACAAGGCTATGATTTCTAGGGGTCAGGAAATCACTACGAGATTGAGTGAGAGTTCCTAGGCTTTTAAGAATGGTTAGGGATTATATACAGACGATTTATAGTGGTTCGCCATTTTAGGAACTCGACTAATCCACTCTTAAAAGAATCTCTTACTCAAAGAGAATATTTTATTGATAAAAGAGGGAGATTATACAAAGTATTTGTTCAGGCTAGTTTCTTGTGTTATATTGTGAGGGATATCCCTCTTATTTATAATCTTCCAGGACTTTGCCTGATTTCTTGGTGTGATCCTTGCCTCTTCTTTGTAAAGGATGCGGTTGTTACGTAGTCACCAAGGGCAGTGCTTTGGTGGTTGCGGCTCTCTTGCTTGAATGGAAGACCGTCGTGATTTATGCGTAACGCTTCAATGGGCACTAGTTGTCATCCCCGTTGTTCCTTCGGTGGTATTGTTGGTGGGGAGAACCGAACTGAGCGCCTTTGGTTGCTGGTCATGAGATGCATGACTCAAGCTCAAATGGCTGAGTTGGGCTGAGTTTGAGTGACCGAGCTCCTCCTTAACCAAATTTAGAGTATAATCATAATCTATATAATAATTAAAATAGTAATAAATTTTAATAGTAGGTGGGACTAACTTTTAAAGCCATAGTCCAACCAATATTATGTTGAATCATGAACAACGGCAGTCTCACATATATTTAGCCAGAAATAAATAAATATAAACTCATCCACAGATTAATAGCATAGAAGCCAAGATTTTCAATTTATAAGTACAAATCTTTAATTTCAAGGAGATCATGGTCGGATAACTTCGGAAAAACACGTTAATATGAAAAATCACACGAAAAGTCCAAGACAAAAATCACTAAACCTTAAAAGAATTAAAGAACACAATGTTATGCAGTCCTAATCCTAAACTGTTTCAATCTGGTGAGTCTCCTCAGTTTGCTGCTCTTCTTCTTCATTCTCTCTAGACATCTCTTCAAGCGACTTACCCTTCGTCTCGGGCACTAAAAATGTGCAACACAACCCAAGTACATTGATCACTCCAAGCACCATAAGAGCATATCTCATTCCAATTCCAGCAGGGTACCCCGGATCGGCCTTGGACTTGTCCTGATTCTGAGCAGCATACAAAAACCCGAACGCTCCCACAATTGCACCGGCCTTCCCAGCAGCAGCAGAAATTCCATGGCATGTTGATCGAAGCCGAGCTGGAAAAACCTCGGCCGGCACTACAAATGTAGTACTATTAGGCCCGAAATTGGCGAAAAAGAAGGTCAGTCCATACATCACCAAAAACCCTGCATGATTTCCTTTTTGTATCCAGTGGTTATATGGAATTGCAAGTGCAAACATGAACACAGTCATGAAGAAAAACCCTAGCAATTGGATAGAGAAACGCCCGATTCGGTCGATGAGGAAGACAGTGAACCAGTATCCAAGAAAAGTACCACAGAAGGCTAAAATGGATTGAGCTCTTGCAATTTTGTAAAGCTCATCAAGTGCACTCATGGTGGGTGCCTTTGGAAGCCACCCAATTGCACTGAAGATGTCCTTCTGGAACAAGTTTTGGCTGTAATATGTTATGTCAATCAAGAACCAACTGGTGGTTGTGCCCAATAAGTGCAGGCCATGCCGGCGAAGAAACTCCGACGATCACAACCCAAAGGAGTTGCTTTTGATATCCAATGGCTTCTCTTTCTCTGCTTGAATTTCTACGTTCAATACTTTGGACATGTCCTCGCTGGCCTTGGTAGCGTTCTTGGCAACCAAGGCAGTGTAACGGGCTGTTTCCGGCAACTTCATCCGCCAATAATAGGTCAACGCCGCCGGCACAGCCCCTAACATGAGGATAATCCGCCATACATAGTCCGCTTCAGCTGGAGTTGAGCCTAATGGATCGACTGAATAAGGTGGAGCATCAAATTTCGCACGAAAAATAGATGACACGGTAAGAGCCACCACCCCTCCCAAAAGTATCCCCACCCCCTGCATGGCAAAAACCGCCGCCACAAACGCGCCACGAGTCTTCTTGTTAGAGTACGCCGCCATGATAGTGGCGGAGAGAGGGTAGTCGCCTCCAATACCAAACCCTAGCCAAAATCTAAAAAAACAGAGTGTCACCTTCACAGCCCGTGGCGAGCTTCCAAACGACAGCCCCGAGGCTATATAGCAGAACATCATGAGCATAAGGGTAATCCCATAAACCCTCTTCCGACCCATCTTGTCGCCAAGCCACCCGAAGAAAAGTTGTCCGGCTAGGGTCCCGCACAATGGGACAACGTTCACCGCCGCAGCCACGTTTGGCGGCAGACTTCCGGGCTTCGACGAGCCGTCAACGTGGTAGTAGATCCGGCCGAGGAGTTTGGTGACGAGAGAGATACAGAAGAGGTCGTAGGCGTCGGTCAAAAAGCCCATGCCGGCGATGACAATGGCCTTGAAGTGAAATAGTTGAGTTCTTGCATCGTCAAGCTTGGTTAAAACAACTTCTTGGTCTTTCGCCATTGATGGGTTCTCGAGTTTCTCTGAGATTTCTTCTCTAACAGATCAAATATGGTCAGATTGATGGATCAAGTGACGTTGCTTGAAAAATATAGGTTGGTAGGGGCTGTGAGAGGTTTGATATAGGGTTTTGGTTATGGAATCCGAGTAGAACTCTATTTCCTTATCTTCTTGGATCATGGACAGAAATATGGGTAGGAGTATTTCTCAGAGACAAATCTCTATTCTAACTTTATTTAAATTTTTATTATTAAATTATTAATTTCATATCTTTTATATCCACTTCATTAATAAATAAGTTCATTCCACACTAAATACACAATTTTAATAAGTAAATATACTTTATATTTTCAGTAATACTAGACTAACCAAATTACTTCTATATTTTATCATAATTAGAATTTCATTTTCTATCTTATTTCATACATTCACAAAAATATCTTTTTAATATTTTTTTTACAGATTAATATTATTTCTCAATTTAATTATATGTGTTGATTTCATGTTTGTTATATGGATTTGTTGGAATTGCTCCAATATTACTATAACAAGAAAATCGCTCTGATACTATTTTGTTGGAGCTAAGAGGACTACAAATAAAATGAAAAGAAATAGAAGAGGATATGATCACGAAAGATTTTTATACAAGTTGATTATAATCACACACTCAATTTAGACTCTTCAATTACTACTCAAGTTTACTTACTTGAAACTCTAGGTCATACATATAATCCCTAATATTACATTAAGGTACCATTACACCCACTAACTCTAATAAACTCTACAATATTAAAACACCATTATTTGGGAATTAACACCCCACCAATACTCTCGTCTTCCACTACTTGCATATTTATTGCCTACTAACACACACCAAATTAACACACCTTAATATTATAATAAACTCTAAAACAAGTTTATTTTTCAACAACCCCTCTTAAACTTGATTTTGCACCTCCAAGTCCTTATCTTGGAAATCTTTTCATGGTTGAGGGGTTTCATGGAATTATTGGAAACTTCTTGAACTTGAGTACCACCTCTTTCAATAGCAAAAATCGTCAAAGTCATCTCCTTCGCAATGTAGGGCTTATGATCAATTTGGACATGGTCATACATTATCTTCAATTTGTTCATTGTCTTCTTCGCATTTCTGCATTTGCATTCATTCTTCTTGAACTTGTCACATCTCTTGAATTTTCCTTCGAGTGGCTCTCTTGAATTGAAAATTTCCTCCATATTTACCCTATCTGTGTCACTTAGAACATTCTCTACACTAAGTTGTAAGTAACAATTAGTGAAATTTTCAAGAAATACATTACCTTGAACATGATTCTCAACAAGATGACCAACACTTTCATGCTTGATTGCAAAAGTATTTTCCNTACCCTACCTGTGTCACTTAGAACATTCTCTACACTAAGTTGTAAGTAACAATTAGTGAAATTTTCAAGAAATACATTACCTTGAACATGATTCTCAACAAGATGACCAACACTTTCATGCTTGATTGCAAAAGTATTTTCCATGGTCAGTACTACATAAGATCCCACTTTAACATCCTTAATCACATAAGGATCCTTGATTTTTTATCCATGCTTTACAAATTTTTTTTCTTCCATTGCTTGAGTTGCTTCTTCGAAATCATCATTTTCATCATCATCTCTAGTCTCTTGAACTTCAACTTTAACTTTTTCAATTTCTTTCACTTCATCAAGATGATGCTCTTCTTGATTCTCCATTAGTGTATCTTCAAAATCACTTTCTTCTTTTACATTCTCATCTTCTTCAAAGCATTGTATCCAATACTCCTCGGGTAAAATTCATCTTCATGTTTGGACACTACACTCTCAATCATTTTTGCAAACATGATTTGGAGAACTTGAATTTACTGCAAGTTTCGAAATCTCAGGATGAATCGCTGTCTTAAGAACTCCAAGTGTCTTTTCCTCTTTATTCTCTCGGATTCTTGTAGGTAAGCCACTTCTTGGCTTTTCTTCAATCACATCCCATAAATCATATACTTTGAGATAAGAATGTAGAGTAATCTTCATTCTTTTCTAATTAGAGAACATCATCTTTTCACACTAAAAATACATATTTGAAGAATCTTCCATGATAATCAATGACAACGATCTATCAAGACTTCAAATATCGTAATATCTCTAAAGGTGAGCTATCTAAATTTTCAGGATTATAAACTTGGCTCTAATGGAGAGTTTTCTAAACTTCCAGAATTGAAAGTTGGCTCTGAATGACAGTAATCTTTCAAGATCGGTGCTGGTTCTGATACCAAGTTTTTATAATTACTACAACAAGAAAATGGTTCTGATACTACTTTGTTGGAGTTAAGAGGACTACAAATAAAATGGAACAAAGTAGAGGAGGATATGATCACTCAAAGAAAAATATTTTCATACAAGTTGATTACAATCACACACTCATTTTAGACTCTTCAATTACTACTCAACTTTACTTACTTGAAACTCTAGATCATATATATAATCCCTAATATTACATTAATGTACCATTACACCCAATAACTCTAGTAACCTCGATAATATTAAGACACCATTATTTGGGAATTAAAACCCCACTAATACTCTTGTCTTTCACTACTTGCATATTTCTTGCCCACTAAAACACACCTAATTAACACACCTTAATATTATAATAAACTTTAAAACAAGTTTATTTTTCAATAGGATTTTCATTATTTTAGATATGTTTTGGTATCTCTGTCGAGTTTAATAATGTTTTATTTAAAATTTATGTGTGTGTATATATATGTATACTTTTAGATTATTTGTTCTTTTTTATCTTGTTTAAGTTTTACATCTATACTTAATTTTTTTTT